TAACCCACACACCTCCTGGGTGTGGTGTTACATATATGAGAGAGAGAGAGAGTGAGTGCTAAGGCTGTAGCAGACTTCTCTCTCTCTCTCTTCTCCCCCCTTCCCACCACCATGGCTTTTAGCTCATGCAGTGGAGGCTCATGCACTTAGCTCCAGAGATCCCTAGTTCAATCCCGCCTGATGACGACCGGGGTCTGTCGGGGTTACAAGTGGGGGCCCATCTGGGATGATAACTGGGAAGTCTCTGAAACTTGGAATGCGCTTCCTCAGCGAGGGAAAGTAAGTAACCCACACACCTCCTGGGTGTGGTGTTCGGTCCCATCTAGTGAGGGGTGGGGAGGAGAGAGAGAGAGAGAGAGAGACTGAGACTGCTACAGCCTTAGCTAAGGCCCATGTGGCTTTTAGCTCATGCAGTGGAGGCTCATGCACTTAGCTCCAGAGATCCCTAGTTCAATCCCGCCTGATGACGACCGGGGTCTGTCGGGGTTACAAGTGGGGGCCCATCTGGGATGATAACTGGGAAGTCTCTGAAACTGGGAATGCGCTTCCTCAGCTAGGGGAAGTATGTAACCCACACACCTCCTGGGTGTGGTGTTCGGTCCCATCTAGTGAGGGGTGGGGAGGAGAGAGAGAGAGAGAGAGAGACTGAGACTGCTACAGCCTTAGCTAAGGCCCATGTGGCTTTTAGCTCATGCAGTGGAGGCTCATGCACTTAGCTCCAGAGGTCCCAGGTTCGATCCCGCCCGCCAACAACTGGGGTCTGTCGGCATTACATGAAGGCAATTCTTCCCCAGCCCCTTTCAGGTTGTTTATGGCCCTTATACATCACCAGCTTGGCATATGGGGGTGTGTTCTCAGCTTTGACACAGATTTCCTCTTGGGCTACTTGCTTAACTCTTTGGGCCAAACAAATACAGAAGAAATAACGATATAAGTAATATGTCTGTCAGGCTTGCTTATACTCAGACTAACTTATATGTGGAAGGGGTGGAAGGTCAGGCAATGCAGCAGGAAGGTGTAGGGATGCTTTCTGTTACTTTGTCCTGTTGTTGTTCTCTTTTGACCCCGGGTATGTAAATTTATACCATGTCACACCTAACATTGATTTACATTGACTTGCCAGCATGTAATTTGGCCTCTAGATCACCTCTGTGTTTGGCCTTCTGACTCAATTCCCCATCTCTGAAATGGGGATGATGTATTTATCTTACAGGTGTGTTGTTATGCAAGTAATTACTATTTTTATTTTCCTTTCCATACATTTCTGTATGCCATTGTAGGTTTCTATATATTCCATAGAGTGCATATGTTTCACTTCAGTTGCAAATGTTGTGGGTCTCGGCCATCCCATGGGGCTTTCTCCTTCTCCCTATGCCATTGCAACTATAGATAAATGTGATAGTGTAGGTCAGTTGAGGTGCTTTTGCTAACACTCCTATTTTGTCTGCAGACTGGAGGCAAGGCAGTCTTAGTGAAGAGCTGTTGGATGTGGAATTTGCTGCGCTGATCCAGATTTTGTCATCTTTCAAGACCAAGGTGAAGTGTTTTCCTCAGGAATTGAAATTAGAGGGGGTGTTTGAATTTACAGGGGGGTGAGAACTGAGGGGTGAGACCATGAGGGCAAAGGTGGGCTGTACCTTTTAATATGTTTTCGTTGGCAAGGCGATTTGGCACTAACTCTTGGCCCTACATTTTAAACACCATAAAACACCAATAAACATCAGCATTTGAATATGATGATTTGTTGTTGTTTATAAATCATAATTTGAAATTATTAGGTCTGCCAACATTCCTGAAACGAATGCACTGACATTTCATAACAAGCATAGCCCTGTGAGGAAGCTAGTTTTTATTTATATTTTTCAAACCTATTATGCTTTTTCAAGTACAAGTATTTTTTTTCATATATATGCTTTTAAAGTGTTTTGTTAATGTTTGGATTTCAATTCAAATTTCCAGACGCCAACTAAATGGAATCTTTTTCTGACTAGAAATTTTTTAAAACAACTAGATCTAGTTGGAAAATGACTAAGGCTTGGTCTACACTACCCCCCTAATTCGAACTAAGGTACGCAACTTCAGCTACGTGAATAACGTAGCTGAAGTTCGAAGTACCTTAGTTCGAACTTACCTTGGTCCGCACTTGGCAGGCAGGCTCCCCCGTCGACTCCGCGGTACTCCTCTCGCCGAGCTGGAGTACCGCAGTCGACGGCGAGCACTTCCGGGTTTGACGTATCGCGTCCAGACTAGACGCGATAAGTCGAACCCAGAAGTTCGATTGCCAGCCGCCGAACTAGCGGGTAAGTGTAGCCAAGGCCTAAGTTGTCAACACTATATGTAACAAGTTGACCACTAGGGTAGCTCGGGATGGGGATGGAGGGGTTTGTAGGGAAAGGCCTGCCAAGGTTTAAGGCTAATCTATTCATTCAGGCTTTTGTCTGAGGAGGTAGGATTGTGGGAAATGTATTGAGATTTATTCTGAGGTGGGGTCTTTTTGGATGGATATGTAATAACTTCTTCATAGTGGGCCATATTCATCCCCTGGGTAAACCCATAGAAGTGAATTGTTACACCGTGGCGGAATCTGGACCACTATTTTTAAATTTCTGTGTATGTGCTCACAGATAGTTTTGATGATGTCCTTCAAATCTCTAAATAAATAAATATGGGCAACCTGTAGAAACAAAAATGATGAAGCTTCCTCTGCGTTAGTTACTGGCAGCTATTCTGTGAGTTTGTACAGTCGGAAAGAAACCAAAGGCATATTTTTATCACTTTTTAGAACTGAGCTGCAGAATGGATTTGTCAATAAATTTAAATTGTGCAGTGACATAAATGTCATGAAACAAAAATGGAAGTATTTGCCTTTGACACTTGGGGCAGCAATGTCTGAAGTACTAAAATACCTGGAAACTACTGGAATAGTTGAAAGGACTGATGCATTTGAATGTGTCCTGCTTATATCACAGAGCTTAAGAAACAAAACTTGGATTCATGTTTGTTTGCCTGTTTAAGATATTTTTACATGTCTTGCCTTCACTGAGGATTTGCTGTTGGCATTGTGTTACTCATCCCCAGTTTAAAATAAAATCCTTACATTCTTCATAAGGTAACTGGCCATATTTATTATGCATGAAAGCTGGTCTTTTTTTTTTTTTGCCACACGCCACAAAATTTTAATGTGGCATCTGCAGTTGCTCGAGTGATGACATCAATAATATTGTGCAAATTACTTAATGTACAAGATATAATTGCTAGAGAAGTGCAGATGCCAGTTGAACATGAGACCAACATATGTGCTTTCTTGTTTTGCATCCGTGAATTAGGCCTGAAACAGAATTAAAAAAAATCTAGGTCCTGATACTAGAACTTGGCTATTCTGTGTTCAGAGCTACATAAAAGAAGGAATGGATAAAGCAGCCATGTGTTATTTTCTTAGCGGGGTGGTAAGAGCCACACTACTCTCATTGGTCTGTAAAGGCTGGGAAAATATTGTGTTCTTCTTTGAGTAGATGCACCCGTGTATTCCATGTGAGTGTGTGTGTCCTATGCAACTTTGCCAGAGAACTTTGCCTAACAGGACCATAGAGGCAGTAACCACACTTTGCAACCGTAACCTCCCCCAGCCATATAAGGGCGACCCCGCCCAGACCTCCTCCATTCCTTCTCGCCATCCATGGCTAGAGTTGGAGTTCTGTGTGGTCTTCACTTTACACATACACTTTCTCTCTCTTTCTTTTGTTTCCTGGGAACTCTTTTTGTCTATGATAGTAGCAGCACCTAGAGGTTTTGGGTTAGTTTAGTGTTGATAGAGTAGTTGGCTACCCTGTGTGATGCCCTCAGCAGGGTTCAAGCATTATCTGTCATGTTGGGTGGCTATCCCCAACAGTATCCGCCACATGAGGTGCTTGGAGGGTTTTAGAAAGGGACACATTCAAGAGAGGGGTTCCATTTGCAAGTCATTCACCAAGAGGACTCAGGTGGTGAGAGACTTTTGATTGAAGTAGCACCTTCTGGAGTAGGCCATGAGGCCCACTTTGGTACCAAGGCCCTTGGCTGATCACCAGTTGCCTTTTGGATCTGGCAAGTGATGCTGGTCTGTGGTCGGGATCTGGTGTTTTCCCCAAGAGGCAAAGGAGTCATTTGCCTTCTTTTAGTATGGCAAGGAAGAGGTCCCATAAAACTAATTGGAACCATTCCAGGGCTCAGGGAGACGGCCACTCTTCTAGGAGGAGTGCTGACCAGCACCGCTTCCTCTGGCACATGGGATGGAGCAAGGCGCGGTACCAGAGAACAGCTGGATGGACAAGAGCTTTCCACTTCGGTTGGGCTCCCTGGCCAGACTACCTTTCCCATGATGCAGCACAGCATGCAATGAGAAGGGACAGCATTGCATTGTGGGAGATGTGGTCTCACCAGAGATCCTGGCCCATAAGAGAGAATGGAGGCAACATGCCTTTCTCATGAGGTAATATGCCAGAATGGGGAAATATAGTTTAATGTTGACCTGCCTCAAAATGAAATGTTTCAGGTCAGTTCAAATAAAAATATTTCAAGTCAGGTCAAACCAACCTGAAACATATTTGTTTTTGTTTTCCTCACAGAAAAATAAAAAAAAGTCATCAACGTTGGAATTTTCCCAAGGAAAAATTCAATTTGGCAGAAACTGCATTTTCCATTGAAAAATTATTCTGACAGAAAACTTCTGAAAAGCTCTAGTGCTAAGCAGTAGCTTTGGTCTCTTTTGTTATTGAGAAGGGCACATTGGCCGAATTATCATCATCTTGCAAAGGTTGTAATAGAGAAGATGTAACTCGTGTCCTTCTGAAAAAGGGTGTGTCCCCCTTCCCTCTGACTTCGCTATTCAGTTCTGTATTACTTCCAGATTTCCTTGCTTTAATGCACATAAGGCATGAATAAGGTAGTCTGTAGCCAAGAATGCATAGACTAGTATAAGGAAACAGTCTTAAGTAGTGGAAACAGCCCAGATTCCTTGTGCTCTCAGCCTGTATTTACTCTTGTGTCACAGTCACATTGTTGCAGCTCAGGGGAAAAAGATCCTTTACTGGGCCCCAACAACCAAACTGTGTGCTACTTTAAATTCTTCCAAGTTAATTTTCTCAGTGTTGTTAAGATGACAGGCCTCTGGCAATAGAACTGATGTGGAAGACAATAAACAAGGAAATAGCTTATTCTATTGCAACTATATTAATTTCATAACTTGAAACATGAACTCATTTTCTAGAATGGCCTTGAGTGGTATGTATGGGTGTGCAGCTACCTGGCAATCAAGAAGATCTATTTCCTATCATCTTGCAACTTACTGCAGGCTCACCTCCCAGAATGGATTGAATAGGGGGGAACTAAACAAACTGCTCATTTGAATTTTGGCCAAAGGACATTGTCAGATTACTGCCAGCTGATGAGATCATGTGTCATTAGAAGATACAAATGGAACTCTGTAGTGAGTGGAGGGTCACTAGGGAGCATTGTCACTTCCTGTACTGGATAGAAGGATGAAGGTGATGGGAAGGGTGAATGGTAGAAGTGGTTTATCTGAGAATAAATGGCAATGTATATACATGTATATTACCCTATTATGTAGGGTCTGATCTGAAGTCTGTTGGGAAGATTCCCTTTGACTTCATTAGGCTTTGGATCAGGCCCATAGCAGTTTTATTGCAGTGCATTGTTGAGTTGATCCTATTCAGGGTGAAATAACTCATGTGCATGTAACCCACACACCACCTGGGTGTGGTGCTTTGTCCCATCTAGTGGCACCGAGACCACTTAGGGTACATCTACACTACAGGGGGGAGTCGATTTAAGATACGCAAATTCAGCTACGTGAATAGCGTAGCTGAATTCGACGTATCGAAGCCGACTTACCCCGCTGTGAGGACGGCGGCAAAATCGACTTCTGCGGCTTCCTGTCGACGGCGCTTACTCCCACCTCCACTGGTGGAGTAAGAGCGTCGATTCGGGGATCGATTGTTGCGTCCCGACGGGACGCGATAAATCGATCCCCGAGAGGTCGATTTCTACCCGCCGATTCAGGCGGGTAGTGTAGACCTAGCCTTAGAGAGAGAGATTAATGAGTTTGCTCTACTGCCTTAGCTCATAGCCAGTTGACTTTTAGCTCATTCAGTAGAGGCTCATGCACTAAGCGCCAGAGATTCCAGGTTAGATCCTGCCTGCCGATGACTGGGGTCTGTCGGCGTTACATACAGAGTTTAATATCGTTATCCCTCTGAATTACCAGTTGCAACAGAAGTAATAATCACATTTAGAGGTGATGTTTAAGGGAGTCTAAGATGGCTTAGTTGAAAGGTTTTTGTTATAGTTTACATTTGCTTAGTCTCACCTCAGAATGGGTGTAATTTTATTGACCTTGGAGTTACACCAGGGTTGAATTTGGCCTAGCAATTTTTTTTATTGACCTATATCCACAGGTAGATGCTATCACATAAGTCTGCAGATACGTATGTGGTTCATATGTTCAGTATCTAGTACAACCTCACATGCTAACTGCCTTATTTTATAGCTGCCTGCTTTCTGCTCTTCCTTAAATCCTTTTTTCCAAATTGTTTGCAGTGCACCCTTCATATTTCATAGCTGTTGCTGTTTAATGCACAGATGTTTCTATGTTGTAAAGGGAATACTAGCTGGAGATACAGAATGAGCTAAAATCGTATGCCCTTGTAATGTCTATAGGCCGGATCCTTTGCTGGTGTAGCTCTACTGAAGTCAATGGAGCTATGCTGACATAGATCAGAGATCTGAGCCAGTTCCCATTGTAGACAATGGTGAAGATAATCTGATTTCAGTGGCAGCTGGATCAGGTTTCACCTGAGGATCTGATCCTTTACTTGTTTTCTGCACTATTTTGGGGAAGGTTTTTCAATAGATTAGACAATTGGGACATAGTGATGCTAAACATGGTGGTGTATAAAGTATCTTCAACAATTTCAAGTGTTCCAGAATCTAATACTACTCAGAGTTGCATTTAAAACTGATGATTAAGCTTCCTTTAACTTTTTAATCTTGAACTGATATTGAGAAGCCTTTAAAAAAGGTGTTAGAGTAAAACAATGGACTTTCTAATCAATCATATAAAATCATAATATATTGGAAACTTATTATTAATAATGGACTATTATTCTTTATGTATCAAGTCTCACTATCTAATCTATCTGTATTAGTTACTTTTTAAAGGAATAGATTGATGAATTACTCTATTAAAAAGAAGGAAGAGACAAATTCTTTAATAGGGCAAAAGCACACAGGAGTTTTTACGGTGATTTACAATTTTGCAAAATACTTTGTGCACTACTTTTGTCTTTCTGGACATTGTATAATTTAGGGGGAAGAATTTAAGCCAGAGAGGTGTAGAGCATTTGCATCCTGATGCAGTGATTTGGGTGCATATCTCCTGATAATTCTAACAAACATAGGGTGACCAGACAGCAAATGTGAAAAATCGGGATGTGGGTGGAGGGTAATGGGAGCCTATATTTAAAAAAAAGACACAAAAATCGGGATTGTTCCTATAAAATCAGGACATCTGGTCACCCTAAACAAACACTAAGTCCCAATTCAAGGAAGCAATTAAGCATATGCTAAAGGCCATTCTTATTCAGGAAAGCACTTAAGTACATGCTCAAAATTAAATGTGCTTAAGTGCTGTCCTGAATAGGGATAGTTTCCTGAACTGGAGCCATATCCCTTAATAGGTGTCTATATTTTTCAGTATTAATAATAATCTTCTGGGAATGTGTTTTAATATTTTATTTTTAACTATTGTCCAAGCGCTAATCAAATAAATGCTGAATGCCCTGGAGGGGTTGTTTTTTCCCCACAGAATTCAGTCATCCTGAGGACAAACTCACAAGATGCTGTTCACTGGTTTATTTCAAGGAATTTAAGGGCCACACGTAGAATGTTACATGACACCAGGTATACGTTTGGGTAATATTAGAGGAAACTGGCCTTTGTTTGGGGGACAAAAGTGCATACAATATTCCAAGGATATTCATGAATTTTGTTAATTTAAAAGTCAGTGCCAAAATGTAACCAGTTTCATGCAGATCTGTTGTTTGATTCCAGTTTAAGCCTCAACACTCATGAAATTTTAAGTACAGAATATGTTGAGTTTTCGCTCAAGTAAGGACCCATCCAATGACTGAAGTCAATGGGAGTCTATCCAATGGGTGTTGGATTTGAAGTAGAACTAAAGATCCTACTTGTGGTGATCCATACAGCAGCTGGTAAAAGGAGAGCAAGCTGTAACCTCCCCTAAAGGCAAAAACAGTGATTCAAAGGGAGGGAATGAGGACTAGTAGAACAGAAATTGCATGTCAGGGCTTCTGACATTTTTGCCCACTAACTGGTCTGTGTAGACCCTGCTGGCATGCACTGAAAGTTCCCAAGTGCCCATTACTGGAGTGCTGTTTGAATCAGTAATACGTTAGCACACGCTAGGGAACTTTTTAGAGTGTGCCAGCCAGGGCCGGCTCCAGGCACCAGCCTGGCAAGCAGGTGCTTGGGGAGGCCACTCCGGGGAGGGGCGGCACCTCCAGCTATTCGGCAGCAATTCGGCAGACTGTCCCTCACTCCCGCTCGGAGCGAAGGACTTCCTGCTGAATTGCCGCCACAGATCACAATCACGGCTTTTTTTTTTTTTTTTTTTTTTTTTTTTTTT